GTTTCACACCACCTTAAAACCAAACCAACCACATTATGGCTTATCACAATGTATAAAGTCAAGTGAACAGTGAATACAAACACCATTTCATGCTACAGTATTTTATTGCAGGTCATACTTGCATACGTTAGAACCTTAACTCCACTGAAAAAATGGGGTGAAATCCACAATCAAACAGTTAAGGATCACCAATTCCTGTATTTTTAAGACTACATCTCAGATATAGTACTGCCTGGCTAATTCTAGGCCAGATTTTCTCCACCTAGATGGGTTGGGGTTCCAAGTCAGCATGGTCAAAGTTGTTAATTAAAGTCCAAGAGAATTGGAGGACACCAAATAGTGGAATGCTGTTCTAGGGAGTGTAAGAAAGAAGTACTGTATGATGAAAACTTTAATAAACAATATGAATACATTAAGGAAAGAAACATCATTTAGTTATCACATTAATAAGACTTAGAAGATCCTGGCTAGGGCAGTGTTAGGCTTCAAGGTTTGGTGACCGTAGCGTAGACAGCAGATTTCCTGACGTTTCGCTGGCAACTGTGGCTGAAGATGCCCAATAGATATCAGCTGTGAAAGCCTACACCAGTAGATCCTGGCTAGTTCCACACAATTCTCTATATCCAATCTGACTTTGATACCCTAATTTTGTCATGCAGAAACCATCTGGACAGGTATGAATTGGCACTTTTCCTTCTTGTGGAAGATTCAGAATGCAACTTCTTCCACTCCTTCTGCCTAATTTTTCCCAAAAAGTCATTGCACTTTTTTCTGCCATGCCTCATTAATTCATCTCCCAGGTTGGTATGTAATCTCTTTATGAATTACCAATAGAAGAGAATATATGTAGCTCAGGGTTGAACTGTGGAGTCCTTGGGGTTCTCTGAGCTTGGTTGTTTGCAGACATTTCATTACCCAACTAGGTAACATAATCAGTGCTAGTGAGTGTGGGGTTTGCTCCCTGTTTATGTACAGTAGCTTGTCCTGCCAGTATTGGTGGGGGTGTGGTTTTCCCTTTAATAGTTCCTTGATTAGGGATTTGTTTTCTGCTTGATAGTTTGTCCGCTTGATTGTTTGTCTCCTCAATGGTTCCTTGATGTATTGTTTTCTGTTTGATTGTTTGGTGTTAATTCCTGCTTATCTGGGTGTAAGCTGCCAGAGAGGATGTGCTCTGGTCTTTTTGTTTCCTTTTTAGCTTTCTTATTGTCTCTTTTGAACGGTGTGTAAATGTGGTTTATTTCTATGTGTCTATTGATGGCTAATGTGTTTGAGTGCCAAGTTTCTAGGAATTTCCTGGCGTTTTTGGATTTAGCTTGGCCTAGGATGATCAGTTTCCCAGTTGAAGATATGGTTGAGTCTGTCCATGTGTTGTGAGATTAAAGAGTTTTCATCATGTCTTCTGACTGCTAGTTGGTGTTCATGGATGTGCTCTGCTAGCCTTCTACCTGTCTGCCCTTCATAATGGCTGTTATGGTCCTTACACTGGATGTTCTAGATGACTCCTGTTTTTTCTTCTTGGGCTACTGGGTCTTTTAGTTTACTTAAGATGTTTTGGAGGGCTTTAGTTGGTTTGTGTGCTACGGTGATACCATGTGGTTGTAATAGCCTGTTGGTTGTTTCTGAGATGTTTCTGATGTATGGCAGTGTTATCCTTTTCATAGCTTGTGTTGGTTGTGCTGTAGTGGGTTGAGTGGTCAGGCACTTAAGATGTTTTGGAGGGCTTTAGTTGGTTTGTGTGCTACGGTGATACCATGTGGTTGTAATAGCCTGTTGGTTGTTTCTGAGATGTTTCTGATGTATGGCAGTGTTATCCTTTTCATAGCTTGTGTTGGTTGTGCTGTAGTGGGTTGAGTGGTCAGGCACCTTTTGATAAAGTTGTGTGGGTATCCATTTTCTTGGAAGATCTTGTATAGGCAATCTGTCTGCTGGGAGGATGATGATGGTTTGGTCCTTCTTTAAGTTTCTGAAGGCTGCTCTGTCCTCTGCTTTAAGTTGATTCTGATTCTGTGTTCTTCTGGTCTGTGGTATGATTGTCTGCCTTATGTTTTCTTGGGTCTCTCTGGCAAGTCCTGTGGTTTTTTGGTCCTTCTTTAAGTTTCTGAAGGCTGCTCTGTCCTCTGCTTTAAGTTGATTCTGATTCTGTGTTCTTCTGGTCTGTGGTATGATTGTCTGCCTTATGTTTTCTTGGGTCTCTCTGGCAAGTCCTGTGGTTTTAAAAGCTGCTTCTAAGATTGCAAAGAGTTCAAGCTGACTAGCATTGTCTATGTTATAGCTGAGGCCTTTCTGGAGGATATTGTGTTCTGCAGTAGATAGTGGCCGGCTGGACAAGGTGACTACCCATTCGGGTTCAGGTACCTCTTTGCTTCTGGGGCTTAGCTTGAGCAGTTTGGTTTGGAGTTTTGTTTTCCTTTTTTCAGATTGTCTTAGGGATGTCATCTTGATGGTGGTTGTCAGCATTTTTGCGTGTTCTGGGGTCATGGTTCCAGTTGCTCCTTGAGGTTATCTTTAGTGTGCTGGTATTTGTTTAGTCTGAGGTTTAGTCTGAGGTGAGCATCCATGATCATTAGCAGTATCATTTTTCAGCTGCTTTGTTGAGCTATTTTCCATCCAGCTGTGCAGTTTATTGGAGGTTTGTATCTGACACTGGTGGGCAGGGGGTGCTATTGTAGGCATTCATGTGAAAGAATAGTTGTTCCTTGGTGGAAGTTTGCCTATCTTCAAATTTCTCCCATTTGCATACTTTCTGAAGCATTAGACACCCATATGTGGCACCAATAGAATTTTTTATGAATTCCCTGTAGATTTGTTAATAGCCTCAGCATATCTGAGATCTGCACTCCTTTATAAGTGGGAGATCTTCCAGCTGTGCTTGGAATTACATTCCCCTCAAAAGAACAGGTATCCAGTTTAGTGGCATTTCTGGATCCGTATCTCTGATCCTCCAGACCAAGTCAATTGCCAGGAGTTCCTTTATCATTTTTTAGTAACGTATAAACTTGGCCTTTCTAAAAGCCAGTGACTATACATGCTGGTAACCTCCAGCCTGATTACGGCAATGGGGCTGCATTTGTACGTAGTCCAGAAACTCTGGTTACACAGAATTCAGCAGCAATTCTGGAAGCAGTCAAGGACATCATGTTACGCCTCTGCTAAAAGCACACTGTCAGCTGGCAAGTCATTTTCAGGTGGAGCATCAAGTGCCGGTTATTGCCTCTAAGTCCCTGAACAGTTTAACCTTCTTTTATATGATTTCACACTCACACACAAACACGTGCTTGAGATCATTTGGGGATATCTGCCTATAGTTGCTGCAGGCATATTCACTGAAGAGTTGCCACCCTGGTGTCTGAAGTATAATCTTTCCTTGTTGGTATTTTAGAAGACATTAACACATGTTAATGGTCATTTACTTTCATTTTTAATGTTTACTTGTTATTTTACTACCTTTATTAACACTTTAATTGTTTTATGGTAATTTTCATGAGATTACAGTAGTTGGTGGTATAAAAATATTAATAAAATAACAGCACGGTGGGAAATATTTGAGGACATTAAGTGTGCCATTCAAGCTGGAATCCCACCATCATCTGGTTCAACTGGCTTTGGCTTAATGTGTAGGGTAGACCCAGCTACTCTGATTTGTAAATCATGAGTTATGATTTAATGTGTTGTGCAAACCAGCAAACTGTACCCTAGTCAACAAAGCATGGTTAAAACACAAAATGTGAGCCCAGCCTCAGAGTCATCTGCAGTCCAAGTGTATAATCTGGAAAGAGAATCTGTAATAGACAAAAGCATGTCAACAACTTTTAATAATATTCAACTAAAGAAGCAGCTTTATTTCAATATATACAATGCATACATCTTTCTCAGAAGATATGCTGATAGTTTCTTCCTGTACAATGCTGCTGTCCTATAAGCCCATTACAACTGGGGAGACCCTAGTTTAAAGATGGCTGCCCTAGGAGATACCGTTCTGGACCCAGACTTCATTGCTACTTCCTTCACTTGCTCAGAACATCCACCGTGCTGTTTCTTTGCTCATACTTCCTTATTTTCAATCATGCGCACCACACTGAGAGGTTTACATATGAGTGCAGTGTAAAATGGATAAACAAACAAGCTTACCCCATGCATCCCAGCAACCTTTTATTATTTATAGGGTTTGTTTTATATAGCCTGACTTTTTCATTAATTAATGTAGGTATTTATGTTTCTCACTGTTTTTGGGTTTTACTCTAATTGTGAGCCGCCCAGAGCCACCCTCTGGGGGAGATGGGCAGCGTACAAATGTAACAAACAAACAAACAAACAAATCACTCCCCAGATTGACACCCACTGTCCCCTTACCTCTCCAACCACTCTTCCCCAACTTTTTAGCCCTTCCAGTTTAACTGCCCTTCTTCTCAACATGTAATGTTGGACAGGAAAACTGAAGATTCACATCACAGTTGGAAACCACTCTACTAACTGCTACAGGGAGCTAATCCTCTCTCCTGGCCTCCTCTCTCCTACAGCAGTTACTCTTCAGTGTTTATTTCTGCTTTTTTAGAGTTTGCCTCCTCTATTAGACTGGATGTCACTAAACAAAGTACAGTATATGCTGAAAACAGTATCAGAGAAACACTGACGCTTGCATTAAGCTTAAGACAGCACAGCACCATTAAGAAATACCTTCAGACGTGCAAACATAAAGGGCAGTGATTCTGACACACATTTGCCTGCTTTGCTGGAGACACAGCAAGCGCCCGTGCGCAGGTCTTTCGGAAACTCACAATAACTGGCTTGGAAACATTATTTAATCTCGAGCACACGGGGTGCGTAAAGGCTATGATGAAGGGAGGCCACTTTACACGAGATTAAATTTGGGGAGGCATTTCTAGGTGGAAGTATCAGTAATAAGGAAACATCCGAGGGCAAGGAACTCGGCAATCCGAGTTCCTCTGACGACACTACCCAGCAGTCCCAGCCGGTTTAGCTAATGGCGAAGGTCGGGCGTCATGAGCGCTCCACAGTCCTGGCGGAAGTGGGATGAACTGAAAGCACAATTTACGCAAATCGAAGTTTTATTTACCAGGCTCATTACTAGCAGAGTGTTAGGGGTATTGAGGGGGGTGCCCACTGAATCTAACAGAAGTTATTATTTACGCAAATCGAAGTTTTATTTACCAGGCTCATTACTAGCAGAGTGTTAGGGGTATTGAGGGGGGTGCCCACTGAATCTAACAGAAGTTATTCCTTAATTATTGCTCTAATATCATGACGTTTGTTAGATCCCCATTTACCAAGGAGCATAAACCCATGCAAAGTGGAATTTCTATCTTAGTAAATATGCTTTAGTACTGAGCAGGAGAGCAACCCATAGCTGGCTTCCAAATCGCCATGTTCCCGCTTACTTCCACTACACCGCCGTCCTGTGTTTCACTGCGCCTCCGCTTCTTGAATCCTTCAGGATCCCCACCCCTCCCCGCTTCGGATCTGCCGTCCAGTTTCACGCAGAACTAACGCTTCCTGGTTTTCCACCCCGCCGCACAGACTCGACTCCTCTCCTGTGCTCCGCGCTCCGTGTTTCTCTGATCTTTTGGCCGGCTCCGCCCCGCGGCTCCGGTTTCAGCCGCTGCTACAGGGACCCCCAAGATG